TCTCACTTGGGGGTATTTGCCAACAGAAAGTGAAGTCAGGGTCTTAAAAATATTTTAGCACTCCCATATTCACCGTAGAATTATTCACAGCCAAAATTTGAAACAACTTACATGTCCATTGATAGATTAATATATTGTTAAAAATGATATACACATATAATGAAAGATAATTCAGTCTTAAAAAAAAAAGAAATCCTGCCATGTGTGACAACAGGGATGAACTTTAAGGACACTGCACTAAGTGAAATAAGCCAGTCAGAGGAGGTCAAATACTGCATCATTCAGTTTGTTGCAGGCATACAAAACAGTAAAAGTTATAGAATCAGAAAAAAAATTGAGATTGCAAGAGGCTGGAGAAGGGAAAACAAGAAATTGTTACTCAATGGCTACAATATTTCTGTTATACAGTATTAATAATTTCTATAGATCCATTCCATGACACAGCACCTACAATTAACAATACCATATTGGCCCCTTTAGAGGATATATCTCATTTAACTGTTCTTACCACACACACACGCACACACACATATACATATCGCAAATGAAAAAATACAGACACAGACACAAAAGAATAAGGGAAGGACTGGGCCTGGTGGCTCAAATCTGTAATCCTAGCACTTTAGGAGACCAAGGCAGGAAGATCACTTGAGGCCAGGAGTTTAAGACCAGCCTGGCCAACATGGCAAAACCTCATCTCTACTAAAAATACAAAAAAATTCACTGGGCCCGGTGGCACGTGCCTGCAGGCCCAGCTACTCGGTGGCTGAGGCAGGAGAATCTCCAGAACTTCTGAGGTGGAGGTTGAAGTGAGCTGAGATCATTCCAAAGCACAACTGCCTGGCCAACAGAGCAAGATTCTGTGTCAAAAAAAAAAAAAAAAAAAAAAATTAACTACGTTAATTATCTTAATTGTGGTGGTGGTATCAGGGGTGTATGCAAAGCCTAAACTCATTAAACAGTATATATTACATATGTGCAATTTTTACATATAACTTATAACTCAATAAGGCTCAAAAAGAAATCTATAAAAAACTATTTTAAAAATTTCTAATCAGAAATTATGAATTATAGACTGTAATAAATATATATAGTATATTGTGTATTTAGAGTATAGAGCGTAATGAGAAACAATATAGGTATATTGAACTTAAAAATGTATCACATGCTTTAAATTAAATTACCTTCTCAGTAACATCTTAAACACATTGAAAAAATGAGTAATATCATTTTCAATGAGAAACTTCAAAACATGCTATATATGAGGTAGGATTTTCATTTTGAAAGTTTGCATGTGCCTAGAAGCATGTGTAATTATAATCAAATATTTAAGAGATTAATTCAGAGTGCACACCCTTGTTGACCATGAATGAAACACAATGAGAGATTCTGGAAGATTTCTTCCTTGCCATTTCTATTTATTCTAAACTCCTTACTATGGAACTTTCTACGTAGACAGTTTTGACTCTTTTTTTCCTTTTTTTTCTCTCTTTAGCACTTGTCATTATGTTATTGATGTTTAATTTTCCTGTTTTTCTTGCTTATAGTGTCATTAAAAGTTCTATGAGGGCAAGAATTTTTCTCTATTTGGGTGATTGATGAATCTCTAAGACTTAAAATAGTGTGTGTAACACAGTAAAATTATAACAAATATGTATTAAACCGATAGATACATGATTCAGTCTATTTATAATTCAGAGTATCATTTTTAAATGTATATATAAATCTCAGAGTAATGGAAAACTTATATACATTACAAATATCCTTAAACTTATGTCAACAATTACTTTGATGATCATAGAAATGACCATGTTTTGCTCTTCTTTCAATTTTTACAGACCTTGACATTTTTTATATTTCAACATCAATAATATTACTTTTAAAATGTTAAATTGAGGTCTGTACTCATGCATTGGCCTTTCGTAACCCAGTTTTATTTTTTAAATAACCTCCACTCTAGCCAGCTGGTTTTCAAATGTTACCCTCATATGAAAAAATTACTGTTGACATGCACCTTGTATTTATTTTCAACTGGAGCTGAATTGTATCAAAGAAAATCTCATGTTTCCCATTTATGGCAGGAATGTAACAGACTAAATACCACTTGTCTAAAATGTTCCCTGGTTGTGTTGTCCCACTAAATACATTTACATTGAAATCCCAACTCTTTTTAACAGAGAAAATGAGAACTGTGCATTTTCTATTGTTTGACAAGGACATGACATTATGTGTTCAATGTAAGTTTGTGAACTGCATATTCTAAAACGGGTTTATTTTATAATGATTAAGTTTTCCTTTCAAATACATCTTTGCTGCTTGGATTAAATAACTGCTAATGTAGGAAATCACAGTTATTTCAATAAAGAAAACTCAGCTATTGTACAAGTATACAGAAGCACACTCCATTAACCTTTCTGTCCTTGAAATCAGACTGATATATTGTGCAACTTCAATTAGCTTGTCAAATAAATGCACTGCCACTACAATTCTTTTCTTTAGTTCAGTTTTAGGAAACCAGGTATGCCAAAAACAGAATAAGCATGACAATTTTCTTCTCTGGGAAAAATCTCAGGCAATGCATATTGAAGTACTATTTAAAACTGAGGATATTTCTTTATCAAATGTAACATGAATGATAATAGACATGGTCCCTGATTTGACATTTCATTCGGTTTTTCTTTTAATAATGAAGATCATGAAGCCCATTTAAAATGAAATGAGGATGGTATTTTCAAGATGTTGGCTATATACAAAGCAAAAACATGACTAGATTTTTGTTTCTTGTAGCTAAATAACTTAAATTGTTGGCCATGCACATATAGAATAACAAAAATATAAAAAATGGAATAATATATATCATTATATAGATATAGCTATAGAAATCATATATCCAAAGATGTATCCATAGACATATTCATATCTACCTATCAATATCTAAATAGGTAAATAGACATATACATATCTATCTATATCTATTCATATTCATGTGAATATATATTTATTCATATTCATCTAGATAGACATATTCAAATCTATCTATCTATATCTAAATAGATAAATAGACATATACATATCTATCTATATCTATTCATATTCATATGAATACATATTCATCTATTCATATTAATATAGATAGAAATATTCATATCTATCTATCTAGATAAATAGATATGTATATGTCTATGGATACATCTAGATAGACAGATATGAACATGTCTATGGATATATCTATATAGATAGACAGATATGAATTATTCAAATGATAGAAACATTTAATTTGCCATCATTAAAAATGTTAGCCTATTGTTTGGATATAAATGTATTTCTCTTCATTGTCAATTTACATAAAATACAAATAATAGCAAAAATCTTCATCTTCTTTTATTACAGGCTTGAAACTTGTGTAACTACTGTTTACTTTCAACAATATATTTGACAAAAATACAAGTACTCCTCATGAAAAATAATCACAATTATTTTACAAATATGCTTCAATATATTTTTACAACAAATCAAATATAATTGCTTAAATTTTTATTGCAATACCCATATATTATGGTAAACAAAACAAATCTACCCATTAAAATATATGTGAATGAGCACAAATATTTAGACTATAATCAAAACTTGAATATCTTAAATATAAAGAATTACAAGATCAGGTTTGAAAACAGTCATCAACTCTATTTTTTTTCTGTCAGTATAAATGCACAGTTTTAAGTTCAAAGAATTGCCTCTTTAATGGAATGAAGCCATTTATTTTCTAATGTATATTAATATGTCAATAATTTAAGTTAGTTTTCCATCTTTATCCTTCCCGACGTCACAGTCTTCCTCATCTCTTTAGATATGATCCAGTATTTATGTATAGTTTTCAACTTTTGGTCTTACCTGATACTAGTTCTCTTTCTATTTTGGGTGACAAACAAATATCAATGATGAAATTGAATTCAATCTGTAATACAGGTTAGGAAAAAATATCTTGGTTATAGTAACATGTAGAAGTTTTATAAGTATATATTAATTCATCTGTGATAGGGTTATATCTACAATTTGATGTTTTAATATGTATCCACAGTGTACTCACATTTATTTGGTTTATAGACATGAAGTAAATAAAGGGGATACTTGTGTGATCAGATACCTACCTGCCAAAAGATGTATCTATTGTGTTCTGTTTTATTACAGAAATAATATATTTAACAAACATTTCAAAATAATCTTCAGAAGATCTGGGGCCTGAGAGCAATTTTAAAAAGAAGGACACTTTCTTTGACTTCACTTCTGCAAATATTTTGAATTAAAAAAGCAAATAATGTGTCAACCAAACTGATTCACGGCTGCACAAGTGGTGTACTAGCCTGAGTTATCCAGAAAGTAGTGTCTTAGGCAGTGATTCATACGATACTGTTTTATTAGGGAACACAATCTCTAAGTGGGTAGTAAGTGATGAGGGGAATGGAGTGAGAAAATTAGGTCATTGTTTTTCTAGAGTCCTGACCCTTACTACTGATTACATGATCCCTCTAAACCAATAGTTCCAAACTTTTTTTTGCTCCAGAGACTGGTTTATTGGAAGATATTTTGTTCCACAGTGGGGTGGGAAGATGGTTTCAGGATGACACTGTTCTATCTCATCATGGGGCATTAGGTTCTCATAAAAAGTGCACAACCTAGATCCCTGGCGTGCACCATTGACAAGAGGGTTTGCACTCTTATGAGAATATAATGCTGCTGTAATCTGACTGGAAATGAAGCTCAGATGGTAATACTGGCTCACCCACCACTCTCCTCCTGCTGTGTGGCTCAGTTCCTTACTGGTCACAGGCAGTAACATTCTATCACCCAGGGGTTCAGGACCCCCGACCTAAATGATCCAAGAAACCAACTAAACTAAACGGCATGTCTAAATTGTCCATGGATGAGAAGTGAGCAAAAACTTTATACTTTAGCATTCATTAGCCAAAGTTTTTTTTTTTTTTTTTTTTTTTTTTTTTTTTTTTTTTTTTTTTTAGAGCCTGTGGCCTTTATTCAGGCCTCCATGACCAAATGCAGTCAGAGACAAGGTCCTTGCCGAAAACAACTCCAGGGGCTGGGACTCTTGCGTCCCCTACCGCAGACACTTTCCTGTTGAGGCGGAAGTGTATAAAGTGCTGGTGTGTGACCATCCTCTGGGGAAGACTAAAGGGGAACGAGCCCAAGGGGTCCTGAGGAAGGGCAGGGCAAGGCCTGGCTCCCAGAGCACTGGGAGGGAGGGCCCGGGCCACCATCTTGGGGCTGGGAAACTTCAATGCAGTCCTGGGCAGGAGGGAACTGAGAAGAAAGCCATCAGCATGGAGCCTTCAGGAGGCTGGAGGTGTAGGGTGATAATTTCTGTACCCCTGTGAAGGGAGGGGGCATATAGGAGAGGCCTTGGGGGTCTCAGAGAATGGGACACCCCTCCCGTGCTTGTTCTTGCAGACCTGGAGGCCAGCCCCAGTGGCCGTCTCAAACACCTCCCGCACTCCCTCCTTGGTCTTGGCTGAGCACTCAAGGCAGCCAAAGGCACTGATCCGATTCGCCGTGTCTCGGCCTTCCTCAGACTGAACGGGCTCCTGCTTCGTCTTGGCCAGCTCTCTCCTGGTGTGATCATCTTGCCTCACGTCCTTATTCCCCACTAGGATGACCGGCACGTTGGGGCAGAAGGGCTTCACCTCTGGGGTCCACTTCTCAGGAATGTTTTCCAGGCTGTCGAGGCTGTGGATGGAGAAGCACATGAGGATGGCATCAGTGTCGGGGTGGGAGAGAGGCCACAGTTGATCATAGCCTTCTTGCTGTGTCCCACAAAGCCAGCTCTACCTGTTTGCCATCCTCTTCAATGTCCACAATATAGTTCTCAAAGGCAGTGGGGACGTGGACCTCTGGAAACTGATCCTTGCTGAAGACAATGAACAGGCAGGCCTTCCCACGGGCAACATCCCCCAAAATCAGCTTCTTTCGGTTTGCAGCCATGGTAGGGCTGCAGCCGGCTGAAGTTCCCAGGCGGCAGGACATTTGTTTGTTTTTTTTTTCAATCGTATGTTCTCACTCATAAGTGGAAGCTCAGCTACCAAGATGCAAAGGCATAAGAATGACACAATGGGCTTTGGGGACTCGAGGAAAGAGTGGGAAGGGAGTGAGGGATAGCAGACTAAATTGGGTTCAGTGTATACAACTCAGGCGATGATGCACCAATATCTCACAAATCGCCACTAAATAACTTACTCATGTAACAAAATAGCATCTGTTCCCCTAAAATCTATGGAAATAAAAATTTTTAAAGTCTTATATTGAAAGCCAAATATTACTTAGAAAATATAATAAAGTGAACATATCAAACTTTCTTGCACACCATATTGATGAATGAAAAACTGTGACTAATCTCTTGAGGGTGAATACTTAAAAACACCAGAAAGGAGACAGTTCCTTTCCTTCAGTTCTCCGCTTTGAAGGAAATAGAATCTTTGCTATGGCTGCCAAATAAAATGCAGACAAGTCATCACGTTTGAAAAATAAACCAGGTTTATATCTTCTAGGATTTTCTGGGGAAACCAGATGTTTACCTTCGAGTTGGCCAAAATGGACCTAATGGCAGCAACCCTCTATAAGATGGGTCCTGGAGAAAAATAACTCACGTTATTTGATTTAGAAGCCTCGGTCTGGTCAGTCTGTCGTTTCTCTCCTCCTTCCACCTCCATTGTGCAATATATGATTGCTATTTGGAGCCAAGGATTTAAGGCCTTGGACTTCCACGATTACCATCTCCAACGAGAAAGACAGCACAAAGTCTGACTTGGAGAGCTGGTTCTCACTCTCCTCTCCCATGTAGGTGATGGAAGCATTGTGGCTACATTTGAGTTTCTGGAGTTTGAACTCGCCACCTTTGGATACCAGCATGCTCTCCAAGTTGGCCATGAGCAAGTTGACAGACAACTTCAGTTCCTCAATGTACATCTTTTCCATTCCTTTGGATACAAACTTGGGAAATTTGCATACCCTGGTTATTTGGTCTGCCATTTGGAGACATCCATCCAGCTCTTGTCTGATCTGGGCTGCTAGCTCATCTGGATTGTCCAGCTGGCAAGAATTGTACAGGAGCTGAACAATTGTACAGGAGCTCGAACTTCTTGATTCCAATAATGTTCTGGAGCATCTCATAGAGCTCCTTGCTCAGAATCAGCTCAGAGGCTGCTCTGGCCATCATCCAGGCCTGCTGCTTCTGAGGGTCCTCTTCCCCATGGTAGATGGCATCAAACTTGGCCACCCAGGAGCTCAGCACAGTCTCCTTGCTGAGGCCGTCAATGTCGGGCAGGCTCTGCACCCTCTTCTCAATGTGCTTTGTGAAGACCTCCCTGGAGTCATTGGTGGAACAGCCTCCACTCTGCACCATGCAGGCCACACGGTCACTCTTCAGAACACCTCATAGTAACTCTGCACAGCGTTCATAAAGGCTTCTTCAGCCTCCATATTCTAAAGTTGGATCTGGAGGCACTGAGCAGGATTCTGTTTTGGTAATGAACGGTAAACACTGTGAGAAAAGGAAAAACTACTAGGGACATACAAGGCTGGGCAGAGAGAAACTATGAGGTTTTGCTCCCATGAATCAAAGTAAATCTAATGTGCTGTGATAGCCAGGGCAAGAAACAGATCATGTCAACAGACCTGCAGCAGTGAAGGAATGTCTGATTTGGCAAGTTACCTTTGCAATCTCATAATATTCAATCATTGTCTTGAAATGATTGTAGATTTTCATCAACAGAGACTAAAAGAATAATAACTGTATTTAAAATTATAGATAGCTGTTTTTGTTTCCATAACACTTAAGACTATTTTTGAAAATGTCAAAGGGAATAAATTATACATACTTTGGCTATAGTTTGATTATCAAATTAGAAGAGACACCAAAGGAAAAATACTTTCCTGTTAGTCAAATTTAAAGTTTATTTTCAATCTTTGTTTTCTGTTTGTATTGCAGAATAGGGAAGATCCCCAGAAAAATTTTTAAGTACATATCAGAATAAAATTAAAGTTGACAGTATATGAAAATGTTAGATAATGTTAACTGGTTATGGAGAGATGCTGTTCAAAAACAGAAAGGAAGAGAAGTGGCTTAAATGTTGATGTATGGAAAGCTATGAAAAATATTTGCCTATGTTCATTCAGAGGTTCATAATTGAAAAAAGGCAGTTCTTATATAAATGTGAATAGTATCAAAATGTGGTTTTGTGCTAATGCAACAGCTTAGATTCAAGTAGCAGACCAGGTTGCTTTATGTATTGTAAAGAAGTCAAGCATTATATGAGAGATCTTAGTTAAATAGGATTGGGAACTTCCAAGTCTTTCTCCAACACGTTGGAGGAAACTTTTCTTTCCAAACAAAGTTTAAACTGAAAGAAAGTCTATGTATTCTCAAACAGACCATGTATGAATATTGACAATGCAAATGCCTTTTCCACTTCAGTAGAGAATATTTTCCTCACTATTTTGTGACTCTGTATTCTATAATATTCTTTTTACCAGCAAGTACTCTTCACACAATACGAGAAAAAAAATCTTTGTGTATTATAAATATCATCCATCACATTTCATAATAACAAGGCTTAGAAAAAATTTCAGGTATTTAGAAGCTTAAAGATTTATTAAAATATAGAACAGAATAACAAGAATAACAAGTTGTTCTCAATTTATTTACACAGAAGTAGAAAGAGTTTCCAGAGGACACACCCAGAAAGAAGCATTTGATTAAAAATGAATTCCCATTAAAAAAAAAAAACCTAGAAATATTGCTAATGTAATGAGGTTGAGCAGATTATTTTAAGAATATCATTAGCAAAATTTTGACTTAGGGATTTACAGTTACTACATTATATGTTGCTGAAAATGCTTTTGTGAAATGTTAGCTCTGAAAATATAACTTGAACAATTATATAATTTTTTTTCAATTTTAAGGGAAATGCTTCTTTAGACTTATTGGAAAATTGGTTTTTGAAGCAGAAACCATGAGATACTGCAAAATCTACTGAAATGGCAAATTAAATGCTTTGTGAAAGAAGCATTACACATAAATTATTAATTTGTAATTTTGCTCTTGCTCTTATATATAGCATAACAAAATGTAAATTGTAGAAAATAATTTCACTTCCTCAAGAAATAAGAAATGAGCACTATAAATTTAAAAATAAAATTATTGAAATAGCCTAGTGGAACATAGCTTAATTCATTTCTCATGTTGTAAAGCAATCTAACACTTTCGTTAATGTTCCAAGCACTTTTTTTTTTTGCCATCAGCGTAAAGAATAAAGCATATTGGATGCCAATGATATTGTCATTTCTCACATTGGACACCATGTCAAATTTCAACATTTAAAAGCTTTTAGAAAAATAGCATCTTCAAAAAATAGGTTTTGTTGTGAAAAGTTAAGAGAGTTGGGAGTAGTTTCCTCTTTTTGGTGTTTTCGATAATGCTCTGGTACATAATGAAGGTAAATATAGATTTAAATATATAGTATTTACATTTGATCATGAAAATGACAAAAGTAGAATGTCATAATTACATTTCATGAAAAATTTGCTTGTATGAGTTTGTATGAAGTTCATAGGGAGATCAAAATATGATTGACTAAAGAATGAAGCTAGGAAAACAATTAAATATATTTATATCTATCTCTCTATCTATCCATCCATCCATCCATCCATTATCTATCTACCCATCTATTTCTTCGTTCATCAGTTTCTCTATCTGATAATTAAATCTGTCTCTTCACGAAAGTTTGGGAACATACACGGGCTCGGTACTTCTGACCGTGAAATTATCAAGGCAAATGGTTAATCACTGGAGTAAAGTGAACATGGGTTTTCTCAATGTTAGATTTCAATATTGTTTTTCCAAATTTGGAAAAGTGTATAATCCATAATTTTTATTTTACTTACGGTTAAGTCATGATGGCAACAGTAGCTATAACAATAAATGTAATGGTTAGTCTGAGAGCCGTGGAGAACGTTCCCAGTTTCTGTCCACATAGATAACATCAGAAAGGAAGACATTCCAAACTATGTATGTGACTCTCAGTTGTATTTATAACTTTCTATTCATTTTTAACATTCACTATTTTTAAACTTAGGTTAAAACCATAAATTTGCCAAAATATAAGAATAATAAATATAAAATAACTGATATTTAACTATATATTTTTATCTCTCAATTTCTTTATATATTTTTTCCTCACCATATCATGATCTTTCATTTGCATCTATTTCTCCAATTATAAGCTATTTTCAGAACTTCTTTCTACTGATAAAATAAAATATTACAAGTCACTTTTCAAAGCATCGGTAACATATGTTGCAGGCAAATGAAGAGGAATACACAATTCTACATTCTAATATTCACCATGAATATTATGTTACAGAAATCTATAAAAGAGTCAGGAACAGAAAGGAATAAAATTTCATTCATAAAAAGTGTTCATTAAACACTAATCATATTATCAAAAACAAGTCAATGATGTGTATATTACACTATTCGCATTTTTTAGGCAAAGCATTAAGTACCGTGTTAATTCTAACAGTTTTCTTGTTTTGTTTTGTTATTAAAAAAAAGAGAGTATATCCATGGCTTAGATTATTATGTCTTTTCAATTGTATGAAAGATAAATATTATACTAAATGTTCCTTATGTACTTACAAAGATTTTGATATATAATTTTTTATTATTTGAAAAATACTCCAAACAACATATACCTTCTCATGTATACAAAGCATATTCCTACCTCTGGGCCTTTCTACTGACTGTTAGGCATGAAACAACACTTACCCAGATATTTTAGAGTTCATCCCTAAACCATAATCAAGTTTTTTGAAACATTGCCTTCTTATCCAAAACTGAAACAGATGAAACATGAGTCTTTTTAGGCCCAAGCTTCCCTGATATTCCTGTTTGAAATCATAACTCCCATCACTTTCTATCTCTTTAT